GAGAAGGCTGTAGCTGCAAACTGAGCTGAGAGCTGAGCTAACCCAGAAATGGTACACCGAAAAAAAGTGTAAATATATTAGAAAATATTTAAAATATTTTTGATTTTTCTGTAGTAAAACTAATTCGTTAAAAATACAGGAAAAATCAAAAAATTCAGTGAATTTAATGCAACTTTAATCCATAAGTTTATTTCGTCGAACTACATCAGAAGAATCAGTTAAATTCATATTGTTAGGGCTGAGACTAACAGGTCTCGTAATTATTTTGATTTTTAAAATAAAAATTACCAAATAATAATTATAATATGTTTTATTTTTAATTTGGAAAATAGGTCCCTTTTTTATTTTTATAATTAAAATTAAATGTAAGTCTTATTTTTTTCATTTTTATTGTAAAAGTGAAAATTAAGTCTTATTCTGCATTATTATATTATACATATACATATATTAAGTAAGTAAAGTTGGAAAAAATACCTAAAAGCTATTTTGTTGAAGAGAAATATTTAACTGTTGACCCTCGAAATGATTTTTTTTTCAGTGTGCCCAAAGCTAAATTTTCAGCATGTAAATGAGTCGGGCTTGGGCTATCAAGTGGGTGTGGGATTGGGAACGGGATTGGAAGTGGAAGTGGGTGGGAGGCGGCTGTTAGCCGGGGGGTTGGTGGTGCACAAAATATGATTTTGACAGAAAACAACAAAACAAAATCCATAATTCAGGATAAAACATAATTCCACACAGCAACAGGAGCGATAGAGGGGGCAAAGAGGGAGAAAGAGAGATGGAGAGAAGGGCACATCCCACAAAGATGCACAAGAAAAAGGAAAAGTCTGGATGGAAAGCGCCGAAAAAACAACAACATTATGAATTACGGTACAATGGCGGGAAAAGGCAAATGAGCAGCAGCGAAAGGGGGTAGCGGGGTGGGTTTTGGGGGTGAGTGAGGAGCAGTTACTGTTATTTATTAAATCCCTTTACGCATTTTCATAATAATTTCACAAAATATTTTAAATGCGATGGCGACGTTGGTCGGGTGGTTTCTGTTTTTGTTTTTTTTTAAGGTTTTCCACTCCGGGAAGCGATGTCTGCCTGCCATCGGGTGATTCATGTCAGAGCCTGGGTGTTTGTATCATTAAACTTTTATGCAAGAAAGAAAACCCCCCCGCCGCAGAAGCGTATTATATGTAAAGGAACAGCAGCAACGAACAGCACTCATCATAAACAGGACAAACGAGCGTGAATTTAATCCCTTTTGGCACAAAGAAATCATATTTTTTCCCGCGCTCAGCGAAAAAAATAAAGCAAGCAAATGCTCGAAACAAAAAGAAATGAAAATGGAGTTGGGTGAAAGCAGTGCGGATTTGTTGGGTTTCGGTGACTTGAACAAGTGCCATGCAAAAAAAAATTGAATTCCGCTTTTATTGCTATTTTGATAAAAATAATTTTTTACGATCTAATATCATCCCAATATTAAAAATAAAAAGCGGGAAATGAAGCAATTCGAGTTTTTCTAATTTGTAACGGTGTAACCTTTTTTGACTAGTCAATTCGCTTTAAATATATTTATACCCTTGCAGAGGGTATTATGATTTCAGTCAGAAGTTTGCAACGCAGTGAAGGAGACGTTTCCGACCCCATAAAGTATATATATTCTTGATCAGCATCACAAGACGAGCCGATCTAGCCATGTCCGTCTGTCCGTCCGTCTGTCCGTCTGTCTGTTTCTACGCAAACTAGTCTCTCAGTTTTTGAGCTATCGGGACAAAACTTTCGCAAAAGACTTCTTTCTATTGCAGGTAGTATATATGTCGGAGCCGACCGGATCGGACAACTATATCTTATAGCTCCCATAGGAACAATCGGAAAAAAAAACTTTAAAAAATTCTAGCTTTGGTGTTTTTTGAAATATTACCTTCTACTTTTGGGGATGTTATTTTTTTAATATTTCTGAATTTCGAATAAATTTTTTAAAAAATCGGACTACTATATCATATAGCTGCCATAGGAACGATCGGAAAATTAATGGAAAAGTAATAGGAAATAAATTCAAGCTTCTTTGGTGTTTATTGTATTATCTTCTACTCTAGGATATGACTCTTTTTAAATATTTCCGAATTTCAATTTTAATTTGATCAAAATCGGACGACTATATCATATAGCTGCCATAGGAACGATCGGAAAATTAATGAGAAATATTAGAAAATTGAACATTTTTGCGATTTGTTAATTAATAGGAATGATCTGCAAGGGTATATAAGCTTCGGCTGGCCGAAGCTAGCTTCCTTTCTTGTTCTCTTTGATTTTAGTTTTTGAATATCCACTTTAGATAACTTTAGTAAGAACGTTTTTAAAGGTCACTAAAAAGGTTTTCTGTTTTTTCTCGGATCTAGGAATTTTACAAAACTTTATGTCCATAGAATACATTTTCCCCGATTTTACAACCTAATGAAACCCATTGTAGGGCATTCCGAGACGAAATACGCAGAAGGCGGAGTGAAAATGAAAATGACAGCACGAAAAATAATTCTAATCTCCTCATGAATATTCCTTTTGCATTTTCATTTTGCAAAGAGCGCCCGGCCAGAGCGTAAACCATCAACAAAAAGGACAACACCAGGATCGGAGTTGCAGAGGCGTCGAAGGGGGTACGAGGGGTTTTGGGGCTGATGCGTAAGCCAAAGAAATACGACGACGTCACTGAAGGGAAAAGGGGGCTGGGGGGTCGGAAAAACAGAATCAGGGTGAAGCAGTTGGCTAAATGTACAATGGGAAAAAATATATATACCCCGGCAGCCGTTTGTTATTTTATTTTATTCGAGCTCTCCAGCAACAGCACCACTGCACTGAAGAAAATAAACTCCGTAAAATTACGAACCACCAGTTTTGAATCCACAGTCCACAAAGATCCAAACAAATAATAATTAATTTTTCAAGAAAAATTCTCTTTCTAGTTCTTTTTTTTTTATTTAATTTCACATCAATGAGAAGATTTTATATGGAAACTTTAGGACAATGCTAGGCCGTTTACAAAGAAAATACAAATATATAAATTGCCCAAACATCCTGTTTCTCTCAGTGCCTTTTTCCCTTGCCCCTCCACTCCCGTGTCCGGCATTTCTCTGATGGGCAGTCGTCGTTCAAGTGCCGCAGTTGCCAGCTTCGTCGTCATCCTCGCTTTGGGTCGGCCATGGACGCCATCGAAATTATAAACTTGGCTGCTAAAGAAGGTTAAGTGATAAATTAACGCCACTGCCCCCCGGTCTCCGCCAGCCATCTTTTTTGATTCTGGCTAGGATTGGAGTGGACTGGACTGGAACTCCGGACGCGAATGGGAATGCTTTATGCACGAGTGGACCTTTTAGTTTATTGTTATTTTCAAAAGGAGCCGGGCTAAAAAGGAGCTCAGCTTGGATCGAATAATTACGAAAAGTGGCCCAGAAATTAAGCGAGGGGGGTGTACTTAGCTCTTGTAATGGCTGTACTTAAGTAAGAACCCATGCCAATGGAATAGTAAGCTAATTTTGACTGAAGTCAATTCATAGAAAATTCAACAACCATCGGAACAAACTATACAAAAAAAGGTAATCTTAATTTATTCAAATTTTTTGTTTGAGTTAATACAAGGATTGGATTAGATCAGATACAATTCTCAAATCGTTGACGAGATGTCAATACCCAGACACTTTCTAATGCGGTTATTCCACTACATTGTTCGGGTCATTCATTAGTGCAATTTTTTCTCAGCATATACAATTTTACGTAGGTGCGAGCAAGACAGATATATGTCGGCTGCAATAAGAAATCAATGAGCAAATTGTAAAAACCGATGGGCACTTTTGGTATTTTTTTTTAGTATTGTAAAATGCCTCAATACGGTACTACCTGAACCGATGAGCAATGAGCAAAATTGAATCTAAAAAGTACAATTTTGCTCATTTATTGGAGCTACTGTGAAATGGGATCAATAATAAAAATTGATTTGATTTTTTTTGGTTGAATTGCCAAACCTTTTGCGTCTAATAAGGTGCTATAAACAAATATGAACAATACAAAAATTATTTTAGTGGCCTAATTACTCCGTTGCCAACTAAAAATAACTCGCATATTTCTATATAAAGACATAACTGCGTCTATAAATTTATATAAAATTGCCTTCCTAAAAATTAATGCCGGGTATGATAAAATTAAAAACAATTACAGATGTACTTTAAACAGCCCAAAATAATTTAAAAACTTGGTAAAAGTGTCTGATTTTTTGGCAACACACACTATTAATTTTACAGCCTTCAACCTTAATGATTTAACCAGTCAAAGTTATTTGAATTATAAAGTTTAAATTTAACGTCTAAATTTTAAGTGACCATGCCATCTTATCCAAACAAATCCCAAAAATAGCATATATATTTGTCCCTTTCTAAGCCTCCAATGAATGCTCTAATGAATGAGCCAAACAATGTAGTGGAATAACCGCATAAGTATCTTTCTAGAATTCCACAATTTCAGGGCCTAATAAATTGAGCTTGATCGATGTCAGTATCGATATTTTCGATATTTTTCCAACATCGATTTTCATCTGATACATCGAAGTTTTTTTAGAATCATCTCTTTAATTTTGAGGACCAAAATAGATTTAAATAAAGAAGCACCTACATTAATTACCATAAAAGAACCGCGAGTTCTTGGTATTTTATTCTTCTTTGGTACCATTAATGGTATGGAATACTTTAAAGTGAGGGAAAAATACCATAGGTAATGGCACTTAATGGAAAATAAATGTTCTTGGGAATAAACCATTTATTTTAAATATCCTCGAATTCTAATCACATGGGCTTTTAAATTTTAGCTTACTTTAGCTTACAATAAAAATGTCCTTCCATTTTTAAATACTTGAAATATGATTGACGTAGTTTCTTGAACACTTCTCCAACCCGAAGCATCCACGTACGTTGGGGTACCTTCAACAATTTTAATTTTTAGTAATTTAAATTTTGTAGTCTACAGAAATAAGCGAAATGTGCTACTGCAGTATACGTTGCTGTTTCTTTTACAGCCTGATATTTTTCTCTTTAGTTTACTACTACAACGATGTGGTAGTCGACTATCTGATCTACGAGGAGCACCACCTTGTGGACAGATACTTTGTGAACACCCAGGGCTGTCGCATGCTGACCATGGTTCCCAATGAACGGGACGTTCTGTTCCTGTGGCGAGGCCTTCGCAAGGACTTTTGCACCAGCGAACTGGACCTGACGTCCTTCAGCAGCTGTGACTACAACTACCTGAGGACGGAGGCGAGCATGGAGTTCCTGAAGGCGAGGTACAGTTTCGAGAGTCTGGAGAGCTTCAAGTGCCAGTATCATGCGGTGGAGCGGAGCACCGATTTCGACAATCGCTACTTGTACAGCCGGGAATTTCCCCTGCTGACGGATGGCAATAATACGATTGAGCCCCATGCGGATATCATAAGGGCCGAGTGCTACTTAAACGCCACGAGGATCTACAATGGAGTTCATTTTTACGTCCATCCAGCCGACGAATGGTTACGAAATACAAGGGGACTCCCGCCTCTTAAGTTGTCCTCCCATGCAGGCAGTTTGTCCGTTCTGATCGTGGGTCTGGACTCCATCTCCCAGATGCACTTCTCCCGAAGCATGGCTCGCACCGCCAACTTTCTGCTCTCCCTGCCGCACGTGGAACTCAAGGGATTCAATCGGCTGGGCAATGACACCTTCGACAGTCTGATGCCGCTGCTCAGCGGGTTGAGTGGCCAGGAGATGAGGGACTTTGCCTCGAATCTCAGCAGTCTGGACAGCTGCCCGTTTGTGTGGAAGGCTTTCCAGCAGGCCGGCTATTTGACGGCTCTGGGCGAGGATAACATAGACAAGAGTATGTTCGCCCAGGGATTCGAGGATCCGCCCACGGACTTTTATCTCCGGCCTGCTCTGCTCGAGATGTGGCTAAAGACGAGGACTGATGGATTACACCAGACCCACTGCAACGAGAGGGACAACTATGCCAAGGTGCTCAGGGAGTTCCTGTTCAAGATGATCCCGCACCTCAAAACGCACCGTTTCTTCACGTTCCTCTGGTGGACGCAGGGCATCGATCACCTATTCAACTACGGCCGGAAGTTGGACCAACCGTTGGTGAACATGTTCAAGACCCTGGCCCAGAGTGGCCTGCTGAGGAAGACCCTGCTGCTGGTGGTCTCCAATCACGGCCTGAACAGGGGCCGATTCTACGGCACCGTGCAGGGCAAGGTGGAGGAGAGCCAGCCGCTGGCCATCCTCTGCTACCCCAGGTGGCTGGAGGAGCGGTATCCCCAGGCGATTGGCAACTTGAAGATCAACAACCGTCGACTGGTCACGGCCTTTGATCTACATGCCACGCTGCTGGACCTGACCAATCTCACGTCGCTGGAGGATGAGCAACTGCGGCAGAGGAGTGCGGATCTGTGGGCCATGGCGGAGAGTCTTCCACGAGGCATCAGCCTGTTCCTGCCCATCCCGGAGCACAGAGACTGCTCCTCGGCCGACATACCCGCGCACTTTTGCCTCTGTCAGCAGCACAGAAATGTCTCCACCTCCGATGGCTACGTTCTGCGGGCCGCCCGCCTTATAATCCGGAATCTGAATAGGATCCTCCACACTCACACGCCACCCTGCCAAGTTCTCTACTTGGATCGGGTGCTAATTGCCGACAAGTGGCGTCGCATGGCGGATGAACACCAGTCGGAGTTCCGCGTGAGACTGCTGGCCACTCCGGGTGAGGGTCAGTTCGAGGGAGTTGTGAGGTTTACGGGCTATAAGCTGGCCATAGATGGCCCTATAAGGCGGGTTAACGGATATGGCAATAACTCGCACTGCGTTCAGAACTACCTGATTGAAATGTATTGCTTTTGTTATTGAAATATAAATGAAGTAGATTAATTTAATATTTTTTTGTTCCCAGACTGATAGCTAATACAGTTTAAATGCTCTAAAATCGATTGTAGAATTGCCTCAAATGGCTTCCATTTTAATCCCAGATCCTTTGCATTGTGGGCCACATCCGATGTGGCTTAATTATCCCCATAAACATTAGCCGGTTGCCTCGAATGACATTATTAGCCCATCTGGATGAGCCTGGGCGGAGCTTCAGTCAAGCTGCCAATAGATTCCAGGCTATCTATTCCTCCGCACACAAGTACAGACAAGTCCACATCATACATATGCTCCTTGGAGGAACGTTGGGTTTAATCTGATGATTTATAGAAAATTTAGGTCGCCATATAGTCGCATTAATTACGCCTCATAATGAGTGATTTATGCGAGAGCTCAGCCAGCCTCGGCGTCTAACTCCAGCCTGCATTATTCCTTCCACATCCACATCCCCAGACTTCCACATCCTCGCTCACATCACACATCCTGCCGCCATGATAAGAAATGTTTTGCCAACGCCAACGCCTGCGGCCAGAGAGTCACATTAGCACAAATGCCCGTAATTATGCTTTTTATGATGGCACTCACACCCCAAAAAACTCTCCTTCTCTCCAAATGTGCGACATTCAGGCCAGGACCTTATCATCCTATGTTTGCTTTCGGCTGCTGACTCCCCGTAAATGTGTAAAAATTTTACGTCTTTTTAATTCCACTTTTATGTGCAGCCGGCGTCAATCACACAAATATTTATAGTTTCTTTATAATGCGTTTTTCTGACTGATTTATGGACCTCCTGCCCAATATCGCAAGCCATCCTGCCATGTGGTCCTGCATTCGACGTTGTGATTTATGCCTGATTGACAACTGCAGGCAAAACAAATAATATAAAGGAATATTTATGGAATTTGGTCGTGATTCCAAAGGACTGCATTGGCTGGTTATTTTAATGGTTTTCTTGATCTCTAATATTTGATTTGGATAGCAGGAGTTTATATAAATTAAACTAATTGTGTAAGCAAATTATTACACCAAAAAAAAAACTTGATATCGAACGATGATCGATTTGATGTTATGTGGTATCAATTCTGACTTGATATGCAGGCACCTCAATTCGATATGCTCGAAATGTAAACAACAGGCCAGGCCGAATTTCGCTCCCACTAAGAGCTATATCGCTTTATTACGCATTGATAGAGTTTGTACTTCTCGCTCCTCATACCAGAAATTTACTATGCGCACATCGATTTGACCACCACGTGTTTTTTTTTTTTGTGTATCATATCATTAAACATAAAGCTGTCTAGAATTTCATGAATGATTAAAGATGACAAACCAGCAAATTAATAACGAACTTATTTCTCCCTAACTGACCTCAATCAGCTTCAAATAAATATTTATTCCAGTTTGCTTTTCAGCAATTTCGGTGTTAATTAAATCTAGACAATTAGAAAAGTTCACTAAATATCCATCCTATTGTCGCTAAATCATTTCAACAAGCTTATACAGAACTGGCAGCTCGTAAAAGCGGAAACGCTTCCCATCTCGCTCCTCCAAGAGTCGTTAGAGTCGTAAATTCGGTAAACGCGCTTAAGTGATTTTCACACTAAAAACCAGCGGGTCACTTGGACTCGAGTCGACTTGACTATTTCAAATGGTTCTTACTCGCTGGCAGACGAAACATAAAATTTAATTTTATGTTTGTACCCATAACGCGTACCAAGTCGGCGGAACACAGTTCAACAATTAAAGAACAATAAAAGTCACTTTGATGACGATCTCCTTTGTGGTTTGGCTTGATTGTCCGCCGGCAGAGTTTAATGGCCATCATCATTGACATTTTTTTTGACAACTGACAAGCGCGGGTCAGCGTCCAAGTCGACGAATCTGTCACGCCCATTTGGCGGGTCGAAAAGCACCTGGTCCCAGGTTCAACCAGTTGTTTAACCTTGTTTACTGTCAAATAATGGCAGCCTCGTAAAATCTTTAATTTTACGAGCGCCTTAAAAAGCCATCGTAAAATCTATGACCATCGGTGAGGACCTCAGCCGAGGACCGGCTGTCTGTTTATTTAATTATACATTTTTGTTGTGCCGCCAACTTGAAATTTATTCCTGGGTGTGAAAAAGTCGCTGTCACTTGACTTGGGATACAATTAGATTGAAACCCACTCGGACGACGCCCACTTGATGCAAATACATAATACTAATCAAAATTTATGGCACTCCGGCGTCTTTAGAACAAAACCCCCGAAACATATAGGAGTTGAACTCTGAGCGGTTTATTTATTTATTTATTTATTTATTTTATTTATTTTATTTAAAGTTAGCAAATATCTGCCAACATAAACATAGTACCCTACTCACATCAAGTGGAAGGGGGCAGGGACAGGTAAGTTAGGATGTTTGTTACAATTAAATTAACAGAGCATTCCGAGAATATCAAAAAATACAGTTCATTATATTGCGAACATAAAACGCGAAATGGATCATGTAACTCAAAGTTAGTTTTACAAATATCGAGGGCAATTGGTCGAAAGTGCCGAGTAGACCTTACAGGAATGGAGAAACGAATTTGACCAAGAAGGTAGCTTGAATTTACAAGTCCAGTAATTAATTTGTGCAGAAACATAACACCATGGCACGTTCGACGATCCTTGAGGGAGGGCAGGTTAAGTAGACGCAGTCTATCCACGTACGATGGCAGGTGTCGATGTGTTTCCCAGTTTAAACCACGTAGAGCAAACAAAAGGAACTGTTTCTGTACCGACTCGATAAGGTCCTGATAAATGGTATATTGGGGTGACCAAACACACGAGCAGTATTCAAGAATTGGACGAACCAAGGAAATGTATAAATGTTTTGTGGTGTAGGGGTCCTCAAATTCCTTCGACCAACGCTTAACAAAGGCAAAAACGCCTTTTGCTTTACTAACTATTATACCAATGTGATTAGAGAAATTTAAGTTGTGGTTGAATAACACTCCAAGGTCTGTAACGGAATTTATGCGTTCAAGTTTCAACAAATTGGAAAATTTACGATCGGAAGGATGGGCGGGAGTAGTCGATGATCCCACGCGTCAAAGAAACAAAGCAAACGGAAGCGCCGCAGCCATTGGAGAGTCACCCAAAGTCACGAGAGTCGATGCATTAATGGGAGCCACTTAACAGGGATTTATCACCTCCGCCCACAGAGCGGTTATGGTGCCATAAAGATCGCCAGGGCATGAGGAACCCGAACCCAGCGGATAAAGATGAGGTCCGTCTGATGGATGCACCGAGTGGGTCTTATAATACGTTCCTGGCTTGGGTTGGGCCTGGTCTATCTGCGCAAATTCTAATTGATGGATATATTGATACGCTCTTCGGGAATTTTATCGCTTTCGAATTGGATGCGGGCTCTATGGGAGCGGCTGAAGAAAAACTCTTGGAAAAGAGAATTTCAAAAATACCCACAGGAAGAAGATATTGTTTTAATTAAAATAGGCGTGACTTTTATTGCTTTTAATAATTTCATAATTGTATTTATCAATCTTCAACTCCTCAGCTAAAAAAAAAATTAAATGTAAAAAAAAATTTTACAATAACGCTCGACCAAATTTTTTCAAAATAATATTCAAGTTATAACAAGAACCATAAGAACATTCGCATAAGCTTATACTATAATTTATAATTGAGATTAATAAGAAATAAATAATAATTTCCCAACCATTTCCATTTGGGAGTTCAGTTGTACCGAACTCGTAATCGCTCTTTGTGATAAAAAAATTGTTTTCTAACCATTGTCATAATATTAACAATTTAAAAGAGGCTAGCCTATTTACGAATGATATTAGGGTTTAAAAGTAACTTTTAAGCAGTTATAAAAATTACTTAAGAATTTAAAGTTTTGTGAAAAGCTAAAAAAAAGTATTATTTTCGATACTACCGACAAAAGCTTTTACTCAAGCTGTTTATAAAACAATTTTGTTGTTGTACCAATTACAAAATAGGTGCTGTTACACTCAGAAAAAAAATCGCCTGAATATTAGAAAATCGCCATACTTTTTAAGCCAAAGGCAGCTCGCCTTGACTTTTAGAAAAAATATTTCTAAAAATCACAAAAAAATTTCTTAAATTTAGGGTAGGTTTTTGCAAAATTGAATAGGAAGAAGAAAAAAAAAATCGGGGAATCGGTAGTTATGCCGACTCCACCCCTCTGTCGGTGTGGGGTGTTGTTGTCCTCTATTTAAACACATGGATGACGTCACGATGTTTGTACACAAACACACTTTTAATCTTAAATTGTAACTGAAATAATAACTGAAATTATTATATTATTTATTAATGATAAACGTAAAAATCAAATAACTTACTATCTTGAGAAAAACATTTTGTTCGCTCGCGGGAATCGAACCCCTTACCCCACAGTTTGCAGTCAAACACTCTACTAGCTGAGCCAGGGAAGCATCACGTGAGGCGCTGTACAAAGTACATTCTTATCCTGTTCTCTTGGGTTCTAGGTTTATACTCTTATTTATCCATTATGTGTGTGTTAGTTTGCCAAAATCCTTATTTGTATTAAAATATACATATTAATGCGCCAAAAAAAAGAAAAGACGCAAAAAATGTCCGCCTCGACGTGGGATCGAACACACTCTTCCGAATATAAGCTTAGAAAACAAATGATCCGCTCGCATTAGACCCCTAGGCTACCGATTAGCCAATTTCCTAAAATGTAAGGCGATTTTTTCTTAGTTTAAAATAAAAATTTCTGAATAACAGAAAATTTTTCTAAAAGTGGATAACAAGAGGAGTTGATCTAATCAGGGTAAGTTTTTCTTATTATTTAGAAAAATATTTCTAAAAAATAGAAATATTTTCTGAATTTCAAGGCGATTTTCAAAGTATGGCGATTTTCAAAGTATGGCGATTTTCTAAAATTTAGGGCGATTTTTTTCTGAGTGTAGGGAGTACGCATTTAATGCTGCATTAAATATTTATATCTTCGTGG